AATTAGTCATTCTTGAATACATAATTAGTTCTGGCCTGGTTACACTGACAATCACATGGAAAGAAGCTTTGAGTTAACATGTAGTTCAATACTATGCAAGAAGACAGCTTTGCAAATAGCACACCTAATGTACTTTTATTACTCCTTATCAACTATAATGTAAACATAAATTATATAGTGTAGAAAAATTACATATTAATAGTTACTGTTGAAAAATAGTAAGCATACATAAGATGTCCAAATGAAATATAATTTTGAAATTCTTATGCGCTGATAAATGTTCTGCTATCACCCTCTTTTCTCAGAGTGGAGGCAGAATATGAACAAGATGATCCACAAGTCTACCGAATTCAACAGGACTTGACAGACATATATATCAGGAACTGACAATTTTCCAGACCTTCTGTATTTATGCACTATCATATGATGACCCACCACTGTAAGGTGTTCCCCCACTCCCTAATGGGGATTATCTTTTACTTGATAAATCCATTTCAATGAATATTTTAGTACATTAATGAATTTACAAGTTGATTTAAATCACTAGTAAAGAGGCTTGATTTAAATCAACTCAATTTAAATCATAACTTATAAAGAGCAACTTTCATCTCTGTCCTGCAGCGGCTCCTACTCTGACCCACTGTTGACTCACCAACAGTCCCATTCACTTTAATGGGACGGCTAGTGATGCAGCAGTGAGACAACAAGGTGAGGGATGTGGCGGCAGTAGGTGAATTGATGCCCGCTAACAGGCGCTGTCATGATGGATCTGAAATGATAGGTGGTCTTTAAATGTAAGAACTCATTCTTGCTGGTAGTTAGAATCTTCAATATTATAATTTGCAAACAAAATGAAGGTTTCCTATTTAGCTTGCAGAGCTTGGATTTATTGAATGAATTTACCAAAAATGTAAATATTGCAGAACATACAACTTCATGCTACATAACTAAGCTCCATTTCATGCTGAATAAACTAAATTATTAATGTATCTTAAATAGAAAACTATCTTTAGATAGATTTTTATTCCAAAAGCATTTTATTAAAATAAATTTTATTTTAAAAAGTCCGATTTAAATAATTTTTTAAAAAAAATCTGATTGTTTTGATTTTTTTAAATTATCCATTTTTATCCATCCTGTAATGAACTGAATCAATACACAACACTTAAGAATCTGTCTTATTAGATGTGCCTAACATTTACACATTTACTTGATTTCTTTAGATGTCTAAATAAATAATGTTTTAAAAAATCATATTTGTGTACAAGCCCTTCACCCTGAAATGATTAGACTAAAAACCATTCATTCCCTGTGAGTTATTGGGAAGTTCTACCTAAGGTTAATTAGTCATCTCAGATAATTGTAAGTACTCATGGAACAGTTTTCTGCTGTTCAGAAGATCTGATTTCCACAGTTTGATTTACAAATTACCCACATTCAATTTCAATTCTGATTTCATCCAGTGGCAGGCATTTACTTAGCTCAGCTATTTGTCCACGATCATATCCTTTCAGAACTTTATATCATTCACATCAGCTGAATGTCTAATTTATTACTCCTTTTAATTTAACAAGCTTAAAAAGAAAATGCTAGCTTTTACATAAACCTCTTAGTGGCCTTTTACTGCTATTCCTCAGCACAATAATTAGTATGAATATATCTAACACTTCCACTTTTATACAATTATGTGAAATTGCCCAGGTGTAGATTTCAAATGATAATTCCTATGGTGCTTTCAAATCATAAGAAAACAAAAATATGTACATGTTAACTGAAAACAGCTTTCCATTTTACTGGCGGTAACATCTACCTCTTGGAGGCTGCTGTCATATTCTCTCTAATGTACTGGCCAATCCAGGACAAAATCATTACACAATGATAATCTTTGAAATGTCTCATTTGATCATCATGGTTATGAATGCTTTATTTCTCATCTTTTAAAAAAATGGTTCAGATAAAAGAAAACCTGGAAGTAGAGCAGAATTAACAATGATATTTTCAGTAAGTGTTTCTGCTACTGAGTAGAACACTGGATTATGGCCCTCCTGCAGTTGTCAAATGTCAATCTCTGAACACCTTAACTGCATGTTGGGGAATGATAATGCCTGTGCTCCAATATAACCTGCTCCAGCTCCTAGAATTAAATAGGATGATCCCAAAGCTTCCCTCACCACAATTTATTCAATGAAAACAATAGATGGCTAATTAACATTCTAATTCAAAACAGTCCATTTTGCTTCTCTTCTAGTATACATAGTAGTTGTTAGCCACAAGGCTTCACGGAACAAGGAAGCCAAATCTGAGGTAAAAATTGAAGGCAGCTATTCCAGAACTTTTGCAGACTTTAGAACAACAAATCCCACTGCAAAATGAGAATCTATAAATATAGATTAGGACAGCTGCTTATAAATCTACACAGCTTTCCTTGATTTAAAATTGCAGTCTTCCAGATCAGTTGTAAATGCAATGCCTGTCCAAAATAATTTCATTCAACAGAAGCCTGAACAGAGAAGACACTCTGGTAATCTCAGAGCAAATCATGCTTTCATGTCTTATTTCTAAAAATAGTCTGTAAATTATTTTTAAAATATTATTCTTAATTTACCATGAAAATGACTAGCTTTCTATTTTTATACAAAGAATCAAAACAAAGAGCAAGTTACATAAAGCTATGTGACAAAGATCAAGGGATACACTATTTTCTTTCCAGTGTATCCATGTCAGAGTCATTCCAAAGCCTATTCTGCTTGTTTTCTATTAAACTTTAAAAAAAAAGAACTGTCAAAAATTGTAAGAAATGCATATACGTGGATGTGCTTCTCTCAAAAGGCTGTAAAAGCTTTTCCTTTGGAAGAAAACCATTCCAACTGTATTTTATTAATATTAATTTATTAGTTTTACAAAATATTTTATTTATTCCAAATATTACTTAATTCCCATATTTAAACAAGTAAGAATTACATTGCAATATATATGACAGCTGATTTAAATTATTAAATGATAATGGAATTATTAAATTATGATTACATAATTAATATTTAATAATTAAAATCAATGAATATTATGAGAGCCAGTTTGGTCTACTGGTAAAGCCTAGAAACTGGGCTGAGTTTCTAGTGTGAGTTCTAGTCCTGCTTTAGGCATGAAAGCCTGGTGGGTGATTTCGGTCCAGGCACTCTCTCTCAGCCCAACACATCTTACAGGGTTGTTGTTGTGGGGAAAATAGGAAGATGAAGGAGTATTAGCAATGTTTGTTACTCTGAATTATTTATAAAAATAAGAAACAAAATTTAAAAATCATAATCTTAATGAGAAGCAAGCAGCAGATTGGTTTGCATAAAATTTCTCAAATGCAGAATTAAGCAAAACGTAACTATAATATATGTTCAGCCATTATTGGGTTTACACATATATAGAAAGGTAAGAATTCATAGCAGGAAGTAAATAACAGGGCAATTAACCTTATTTTCAAGTTCTTGCAGAGAATAATAATTGCTCTTGACCAATTCCCTAGCTTCTTTATTCTAACTCAAATTTGGGTTAAAATGAATGGCTCTGTCAGTCAAATTTAACAGATAAATTTTGTAAAAGCAAAGCCAGGCTTGATAGGACTGGTGAAATTTCTCAGAAGTTCAAGCCCAATTTGGGACTGAAAAAGATAATGACAAAGAGATAAAACTATCCTACTTGACTTCCAACAGAGGTAAGACCCTCTTCATGTCAGGAAAATATGTATATGTGATTTCATACAGGGCATTCTTAGGTTCACACCAATTGTACAAAATCTTGTCATTCAAAATCATGTGCCTAATTACATGAAAAACACATGTCTATTGGCCAAAAGGAATTGGCCAAAAGGAAATAAAAGTACTCAAATGAAAAGTCATAATTGTTCCTAGATTCAAACACATTTCATAAAGACATAAATATCACAAACATATATTGGACTGGAAATATTTAGGATCTTCAGGAAGGACAACAAGGGGGACAGATTTAGTTTCTTGGAATAACAGATTCGGAGAAATCTCCATAAAGGCACTAATTAATCTAACAGCTTTCAGTGTAGCATCACAGGAATATATGGAGCTGTCATGACAGCTGAACACATTGTAGCCCTGTTATCTCGAAACCTTGAACTGAAGAAAGTGAGTGTACACTGTGTATCATTTGAACAGGTACCAACTGCTTATGCCAAGCACATATCATATATAAGGCTACTTAAGGTTTTATTCACCATCAGCCATTCATTGGAATAAAAATTCTAAATTCTTGGAATAAGAATACTAAACAACCCCACAACTTTTTAAAACTGGTAATAAAATTCCTTATATACTGAAATTACAAAGGAGTAAAATGCAGTAAATAAAAGAAAGAATTATGATATGTAGGAGTTTGAACAATCTGAATATTTTATATTTGGCTGGGCAATGCTTTATTTCAAAAACAAAATGCTGTGAAGCATATGGAAACACAAACTCTGCATCTGTTTGCAAGGGGGCAGCTAAGAAATCCTAAGAAAAGATGTGCCTACTAACACAGCTGCAGAACTATTGCTGTTGTGCTCTCACATGCTCCTAATTGCAGTTCAGCCCTATGCTGCATAGCTTTCTGAATGTTCAATGTTATAATTTCAAAAGACTATAAAAACTCTTACAATTCTTCAGTTCGATTATATAAAATATAACTCTTATCCTAATATATTCTTCACTGATGAAATATTTATTTTTTACCTCACTCTTCATGCTAAACTAACAAATAATTTGCTGTTTGATAAATTCACTAAATTAGATTCAAATTGCACAAAGCAGTATTTATTGCAGTTTTTACCATCAGGATCTGAATACAGTTTTGATAGAAAATGCATCTCAAATAAAATAAAATAAAAACAAAAATCAGTTTCAAAGCCACAAGCCAAATGAATGTTATTATTGTTGTTATAGTATCAAAATTAAGATAGAACAGCAATGTATTAAATAAAAATTCAAAATTACTTGACTTGCCTTCTTTGAAGATCTTGTTCCAATAAATTCTGCCAACATCGTTTCCACCAAGAAAGATAAGGTTGGAAAAAATCAAGAATGTGGTGGATACAGCTGCCATTGCTGCATGGAATCGACGAATCCCTCTTGGGGATAAAACCCGGTTCTAAAAAGATAAAAATTAAAAGACAGCTTAAAACAAAAGCTAGCAAAATTTTAATGCTGGATTAACTGATGTCTATTTGTTGTTGCCAGATTAAATATTACCTGGATGTTGGCACTGTGTTAAAACATTCCAGAAATAATTTTCAGGTGAAAATTTGTAATATTCAAAGTACAGTGGCTTTGTGAATTGTATTTAAATGCTTCTAGTTCTGAAAGTTGTCTTTAGATTAGTCTGAATAGCAGTTAATTCAAGTCAACCTGTGTGTGTGTGTGTGTGTGTGTGTGTGTGTGTGTGTGTGTGTGTATGACAGAGAGAGGGACAACGATATTTTTTTTCCCCCTCTTTGGCAGGAAGTTTACAAATTTGTAGCTTTCTTTGTTGAAGCAAAAGTCTTATTTCGTTTTTTCTGCATTTTCCTATAGCAATAATACTTTTTTATATGCCACTTCACAGTGCTTCTCTAAGTGGTCTATAGAGTCAGCATATTGTCCCAACAATCTGGGTCCTCATTTTACAGACCTCAGAAGGATGGAAGACTGAGTCAATCTTGAGCAGGTGAGACTAAAGCTGAACAACTGTGTAAGGGAATCATCATTCTGTTTCTCCTGACACTTTTTCAACACTTGCTTTATCTTTTAATCACCAAATTGAGTGCATTACAGTTTTAATTTATTATTAACTTTTTATTTGATAGAAGATAGCCCTGAATACAATTATTCTCAAATGTTCCTATCTGATGTGCTATAGATCTCAAATATGTCTTAATAATGTATATTGATATTAAATATAAATTCTTTTTGAATTTTAGGAATACATAAGCCTGTTTCTAATCTAGTACATAGTTTTAATAACAAAAATCAAATAGCAGAATATTCACTATCTTGTTTTGCCTATAACTTTTCCATGGTATCTACTTGCTTGGCAAGAGCTAACCAAGTTGATATGCTCTGGAACCCCTCAATTAAACAATGCCATCTAACAGAACCTAGGAAACCTTCCTTTTCTGTCATGGCCTCTGGTATAAGATACTTACAGAAATTATTGTGATCCCCATCCCCAGGGCACATCACAAGGCCCTGAAAATCTAGATATACTCCCAGGATTTGGGGGTAGTGCGGATGTGGCCCCCTTAATAGACATGTTTTTTATATTGTTGGATGGATTATCTATATGTTTAATTACATTGTAATATGCATTTTTATATTCTTTGTTGAGAAAGAGCTAATAGAAGCTAAGCTCTAACAGAACTGTCATTATGAGAGGTCCCAGTTTGTAGCCTGTGCCATAAGCAGTGATAACTATTTATTCATTTTTAAATAAACAGATAATTTAATTTTGGCCAATTTTAATAACTGCCTCTGTGATAAAAACTTTATATGTCAGAAAACTTGCTCTTAAATGCTTAAAAACTGCAAAGAGCACAAATAGCTGTTTTAATCATACGCATTCTGATGTTTTGAATTGTGATGAAAATGGAAGGCTTAGGATCTCATAGGAAAGAAACACATGAGTATAACAATTTGCTTCAAATGTGGAATGTCTGCAATTCTTGGAAGTCAATGTACAGCATGACTCAGCACTGCTTGAATGAGAAATGGTAGTGAATATTTGGCTATTGAGCCTTTCCATCAAAACAAACTGAATGCAACCTGGAATTTAAGCAAAGGATGTGCCTGGCTGATAGAAAAGATGTTGCATATGAATATCATCTGCCAACTTCTGAGAAAGGTCTCAAAAGGGCCATGCCTAATGATATGCCAGAATACAAATTCCTTTCATAGTTTTCCGGGAACTCCACGAACAACAGAAAAGGCAGCTTCTGTTGGAAAATATGATTTCATGTGTTCTTTAAATATCAAATTCTAAGGTAAAAAATGAATGACAACCAGACTATGGTACTCTTGTGAGTAAAAACAGCACATTATCTTTCATCAGATAGAAATTCATCTTTCTATCTCCTATGCCCTGTATTGTTATGATCCAATTTTTGGGGATATTAGTTAATCCAATGTAAGAATATTTTGTGGTACCTAGCAACCACTAATAAGGGAAAGAAAAGACAAACCCAGACATTTATTATCAGCTATTGCTGACTCCTAGCCAGGAAAGGAGAAGCAGTCCAGTTTACAAAGGATGGCTGTGCAGTATCTAGCCACATTAGTGATTTAAGATTAGCAATCTACATCAGTACAATGCCACTGGACTTTCCATGTACTGGCAAAATATTGTAACCATGAAAATCACAGTTGTGCAACAACTCCAGTGCTACCTGCTTTTGTTTTGCACAAGAACTGTAACAGCATGATATTCTCAATCATTGTGCTAAATTTAGCTAAGTTTCTCCAGCTGTCATATTTCAAATACACATACTGATTTCTTTTCCAAACCCTGAACAACATATCAACAACGTTGATATAGGAATGCTAAAAACAGTCATTTTTTTATAAATTGTAAAAAGGAAAATATGTTTGAATGCCTTGTGATGTGCAGTTGGGCAGGACATTTTTAATTAATTCATAAATATACCCATTTAATTATCTTCTAGGATTCCACATTTCATACATGACAAGCATAAAGATATTTATTAGTTTTGACTATGTTACCAGAGAAGAAGTAGTAATTGACTAGTAATTAGGGATAATTGATCATAGAGCAAATGCAAATATCTCTGTAGTTTAAGAGTCTACAACCTCTCTGTTCATTGCAATGGGTAGTTTCTTAAAATCCAAACTACAGGTAGTCCTCAAATTACAACAGTTCATTTAGCAACTGTTCAAAGTTACAATGGCACTGAAAAAGTGACACGACCATTTTTCACACTTACAACCATTACAGCATCCCCAAATGTCCTGTTCAGTAAGCATTCATAGTTATGATACTAATGAAAAAGTAGCTGCACAACCAATCCTTGTATTTATGATCTTCATAGGACTGTAAAGCAAAGGAAAGCTAAAGTAAGACCAAAACTTTCACTTAAGAGCTGTGGTGGCGCAAGGGTTAGAATGCAGTACTGCAGGTTATTCCTGCTGACTGTCAGCTGCCAGCAGTTTGGCAGTTCGATTTTCACTGGCTCAGGGTTGACTCAGTCTTCCATCCTTCCCAGGTTGGTAAAATGAGGGCCCAATTTTTGGGGGGCAATATGCTGACTCTGTAAACTGCTTGGCAAGTGCTGTGAAGCACTATATAATTCAAAGTGCTATTGCTATTAATAACTGAGTTATCAGTCCCACTGTACCTAAATGAAGACTATCTGTAGCAATTTAACAGAATAACAAAGCTCATGCAAAACCATCCCCACGCCCTACCAATCTGCAAAGCTGGAAAGGTTGGGGAACTCTGATCTATTGGACAAAGGCTTAGGGTTTTTTCCTCTAAAGCAAAAGTCATGAAAAGAATTCTAGAGAATTTTCAGCTGAGATGAATTTCAGCCAACCCTTACATTACTCATCTTTATGCAGCTTTGCTTGTTGCTCATTTTTTATATAACTTGCTGAAGGCAACTCGTCAATTACAGAATTTCTTCTGTCAGTGGGCATAAAAGGAGCCAATTTTCTCTCCCACTGCAACTCTCCACCAAGCTTACTGAAAATCTGGTAGTCCCTTCTTTCTAAACTCTTATGGCTTGTTTCAACAACAGATAAGAGTAGCTAATGGTGCGAAAAGAATGGTTATTTCTTGATTCTCCTAAAAAAAGAAATGCAAAAACAGCAACTGAATTCTACCTTTGGATATCATTTGTGGGATCTCTTCCTAGTTTGCTTGATATTTTACAGCGATATATATTCTTTTGCTAATTCCTACTTCAGTCTAGTTTCACCTCATCTCCAGTTTTTCAGCCACTATCCATGAAATTTTAACATGTACTGCTTGTGGCGCCATGCAGCTGTTTCTTCTTCTTTGCTAAACCAGGATTAAACAGTTCACCACACAGAAATAGGAGGATAAGAATGCAGGCCTAACCCGCCAGCCATCAGATTTTCTATTAATAGTTGCTACTTGTTCCTTTCACAAGACAAAGATGCTGATTGATCACCTACACCATTAACCAGCATCTACATGTTTTAAAATGATTAAACAAGGATCCATTTTACATCTTTTGAAACATTTCAAGAGAAAAATAAATTATTGCTATAATTTATTATCCCTGGTCTTTCTCAATGGCTGTGATCATATAGCATGACTGACAGAATCAGCCATCTCCACATTCAATAGACTGCCTGCGGTTGCCTAGTATCACATGAGCAATATGATGACGCCAAAGGCCCAGGCAACTGAAGTATAACCATTTTCCATGTCCTCCAATTACCTTTAAGGAGGTTAAGAAGCTCTCATATCCTGCCTTGTTTCCTCCAACACCTTCCTCCCAAGCCACTCCCTTTAATGGCTTGACAGGGTCAGCACTACTGCAAAAGAACTTTTCATTTACATTCTTTTCATTCAAAGAACTCTTCATTTAGTGATCAGTGTTGGGACTGGTAACTCAGTTATTAAGCAAAAGTTATGATCTTACTTTAACTTTCCTTTGCTTTACAGACCTATGGATGTTATAAATGCAAGGATTGGTTGCAACCTAGAACTAAGGAGAAACTTTTTGACAGTAAGAACAATCAATCAGCGGAACAACTTCCCTTTAGAAGTTGAACATGCTCCAACACTGGAGGCTTTTAAGAAAGGACTGAAGAACCATTTGTTGAAAATAGTATAGGGTCTCCTGCTTGAACAGAGGGTTGGACTAGAAGACCTCCAAGATCCCTTTCAACTCTGTTATTCTGTTAAACTACTACAGGTGCTCTTCATTTCATGATTACAGTTGGGACTGATAACTCATTAAGCGAAAATTATGATCTTACTTTAGCTTTCCTTTGCTTTACAGTCCTATGGAAGTCACAAATGCAAGGTTGTGCAGCTACTTTTTCATTATCATCATAACTATGAATGCTTACTGAACAAGACATTTGGAAGTTCAAGCAGGGACAGAGAAGAGTATGAGCATATATTTCAGTTTTAAGTTACTTGATGGTGATGTAGAGTGGAATGACTTAGCATTAATTGATCAGTTCAGAGAAAGGCTGGCCAATGAACTGAGAGACGAGCTAGTGAGGCAAGAAGCCCAAAATACTATGGAAGAGCTTTTTCAACATTGTGTAATTATAGATGGCCAGCTGGAAGAATTGAGGCTAGGGAGAAACAGGAAAGAAAAAAGAACCTACAATGTCTTCCCCATACAATCCCACCCAACCCAGCATGGCAGAACAATGAGGGCAGTATGGGACAACCAAAACAGCAAGGACTATTGTCCTGGACACATAGCTAGATCATGCCCAATAAAAGAACAGCAGTGATCACAATAATAAGACGCAGAATTTGTAAATCAATGGAATACAAAGCCTATAATTGCCTAGCTCAATCCCAGATAATGCCTGGGATTCTCCCAGGCACCATTCTCCCCTCCTCAGAGCTCCAAAAGGTGGCCATCCACCATTTGAGAACTCAGCCAACCAAGAACATTAAGTAGGCAAGCATACTTAATTATTTCTATTATTGTTACTTCAGATTCTGAGCAGAAAGTGGAACTTTCTGCTCTTGTAGACTCTGGTAAAAAGGTAAAGCCTTTCACTCAGTTAGTTGTTCCTGACTATAGGAGGCGATGCTCATATCAATTTCAAGGCCATTGAGCCAGCACTTTCGGAAGACGTATCCATGGTCATGTGGCCAGCATGGTCTCATGGAATGCTGTTATCTTCCCACTGAAGTGGCACCCATTTACTGACTTGCATTTGTATGCTTTTGAAGTGCTAGGTTAACAGGAGCTGGAGCTAGGATGGGAGCTCACTCCATCATGTGAAGCTTGGGTCTTAAACCAGAGCTTCCAGTTTTCCAAATGACAAGCCGTGTTTTAACCACTGAGCCACTGCGCCACCCCATACACTTTGGAGAACTACTAATTTCATAGGTATAGAAACAGTTCTAAAAAGTACTCAACCTGCTCAGGAAGTTTTCAGAAAACACACGTAAGATTTAATCCTAAACTTAAATACGATTCTTAGAAACATGAAAAAGAATTAACTTACAATAAAATTATGGACAATTGGAACAGAAACAATCCTCTTCACTCCATTTTCAGCTGTTACTCCAAGCCAATTAAGCACAGCCCAGGACCAAAGATAGCTATGGCTTCCATGCCAGTAACTTACAAAAGCAAATGTGATGGCAGTCGAAAACAACATCTTAAATATGCTGCAATGAGATCCTCCCATTGGGACATAAATATACCTGCCAGAGAAATTAAAAATAGAAGTAATTAGATATAAGCTTTCCAAGAGTTTCTTGTTTTTATTAATGATAAAGTTTTCTCTTGACTAATTACTTGACATGTTATATTTGCAATCCACTCTAGTTTCTCAAGCAGACCAAATCATAACATTTTTAACAAATGTCAAAACACTTTTTTCCCTGCAGATGATGTACCACCAAACTCTTGTCCTATATCACTTTCAGTGGACCCACAACTGATCTGTGAGCCTCTACTTGTTTCTTGTTTGGAAAAGTGGAGGTAAATCCAATCTTTTTTTTTATGAGAAAAGTTCTTTTTCTTGTTTTAATGAAGGTTTACACTCAAAAGTGCCACTAGCAAAAGTAGCAGCAGCCACTTTTCCTTGTTTGCTGATAGTTTTTGCCTGTTTTCCCACACCTCTCTCCCTCTTCTCATTTCTACAGCATCCTGCTGCTTTGCATGAATATTCCAATGAAAATGAATTCTTTTATCCAAATCCTAGCTATTATACAATCTCCCTCCTTTATTACAAATAATTCAAACACTTGTTAACTAGATTTTTAAAATATTATTTTTCACTAGTGCTGTGCGTATACTTCAGATTTGGACTAGATGATGAGAATGCAGAATTAAGGTTTTTTTTCTTTCTGTAACTCATCAAGGATCCTGATAACATGGCATTCTGCATTTTCTTAGTCTTAAAACAAATTGGCAGGGAGAATGGCAAAAATGGGATAACTATGTAGCAAAACAATTACAGAATACAGGGCAAGTTAAAAAAGAGTGAAATAGTGACACAAAGATCGCTTGGATTGCCTCTGTGACTATGTAGCACAGATGGAGGAGGAAGCTAACCACCAGAATGCAAGAACACAAGTGAGTGGTCAAACAAGGAGACCCAAGCTCATTGGTAGCTTCACTTTGCAATGAACAAGGACATACATTCAATTTCAAATTCAAGCTACTAAGATTGTTGGCCGAGCGGATACAAAGGTAGCCAGGGAAATGATTGAAGCCTGGGAAGCCATCAACACCCCAATCAACAAATAAAAAGCCACACACAACCAGGCACCACATAAATACTGCACATAGAATAGTTCAAAGCACACATTCTGGTAGAAAGAAGTTCCCTAAGGATGGGCTCCAGTATGAATCCGAAAGCTCAGAACACTAAACCTCTGGTCCTGGTGTCTGACTCAGATTGGATCCTGCAAGTTTATCCTGCAACATGTATATTTGCCTTCATTCATGAAAATAGTTTTTTAAAAAGCAGGTAGGGACAGGTAGCCTGGTTAGCAGCAAGAAAGATATCCATGAAGACATTGGCATATGTGGTTGCCTACTGTAATGATGCTCAGGTCAATAATTTAAAAAACCCTTTTTTAACCATCGTAGATACATCTTTTCAAGGCCATATATTAATATTTTCCCTCTGCAATACTGTAAAGCAGATATAATAAGATTCCATACCTAGAAAGACTCTGTCAGTGCAGAAAGTGGGAAATGGAATCAATGACTCACATGCTTCTAAGCTGCTTTTTCTGTGAGCAAGCCAGACACGGAAGTAAAACGCCCTATATTAAAAGGTATAAAGGACAGTCTAGATAGCTTTATCTTGACCCATTAATAATGCACCACAAGTTGCAAAATTTGTTCTGAAGTCATACAGCAAGCTCATCAAGGAAAAATCTTTTGTCCAACCTTAATGTTTTATACTATAAAGTTGTTTACTTCTTCCATTTTATTTCCTCTATTTTATTCATACATGCACTCAGACAAAGACTGTAAAATAGTACCAAATAGAGTATATAACTTTTATAAAGAATGTTTTTATGGCGTTAGTTAATTAAATCAGCTATCTTAAATTTACATAAATTATCTAGGCTGTATACAGTATACCTGGATACTTTGTTGTACTTTTCTCTTTCTTCTGGTTACTTAGCTGTAATAAATTTTGTTATGTTGTGTTCCTACCCCTGAATCAAAAATATAGTATGAACATCACATTTACCCACTGATGATCCAGTTAATTTCTTCTCAAACTGAGGAAGGGCAGATCCTTCTTCAAATATGGTAACATGCTTGATAAGTAAATAGGTACAATGCTATGCATTTTTGTATCATTGTAGAGATTTCAAGCCTGCTAAAATCAATGGAAGTTTTTAATGCTATTAGCTAGTACAGTAAATCCCTCAGAGTACAATCTTGGCTCTTAAATGATCATTCATGTTCATTATTTTCCATGAAAAACATCTTCTAACTATAGCAAAAATTAGCCTGCTTAACATCAGAGAACACCACTGCTATTACTGCACTGATGAGACTATACCCGGGAATAGGCTAAAAACAGCTTTAATTAAAAACTGTATTTTCAATTATGGTCCAGTTTATATGACATTGACTATTCCTCCCGGAGTGACTTCTCAGAGGAAAAGGAATCCATTTCAGACTTTTATTTCTAATACATGTAGTTGATTAATTGTGCAGGCTTAATTTTATTTTGTTTAAAAAATGTGGAGGTGTGTCCTTGCGGGGACATGGGTAAATTATTGCCAAGAGCCACATGATAAATGTGGCTCTTGACACTGACAAAGGGCAGGATCCAGCCTAAAGACTCTGAAAGCAAATGTTGCATAGCTTTTGGACTCAGAGCAATTAAGTTAAGCTGCAGATTTAGACTTAATAATTCTTACCCAAGTTATCAGAAAAATGCACATTTTTCCATCAACAAATGGTGTATGCATGATATAGTTTAGAAAGTAGGTGTTCACACATAAATTCAGCAAGTCAAAATCACAATATTTGCAATATAATTCCATGTATCATATTGAACCTTTTCTGGAGATTCATAAAATTTATTTAAGATTTATTCATAAAAATCATACACAGTCTTAATCTGGTCAGATTCTAGGAATTATAGTATATAGTGCATTGTAAATATATACTTTATATTAAACACACACACAGTACATATATTCTTCATGATGAACTTCCTTGAAAGGACAAATTGATTTTGAAGTCTAATATTATGACTACTAACATTTGAAAATATAAGCCAATTCTTCCAAGTGTTATGATGACACAGTGTGTGTGAAGTTGTAAAAATTGTGCTGTAAATATTTAAACTATAATAATTCATAATGTAGATTGATATCACTTTCTGTATAAACATATGAGTGAAGATTAGAGATCATATCCATACCCACATATTCTCTGACTGATTATGAGTCATCAACATGACCTAGATAGATTTTCTCCATGATGCTTTGTCCCTAAGTTTCCATTGGTCTTCCAATGATGCACTCATAGCCCCTGTAACTGAGTTCATCAACTTCTCATCCATTTCTGGTCATCCACTTCTCTTTCTGGCCACCTTTCCCAACATTAGAACCTTCTCTAGGGAGCTATCTTTGCATATTATGTACAAAACCTACATATTCTTATCTAAATAAAAGCCATGATGCCAATTTAAAATGTAATTGCAATGCCACAAAAATAACAAACATTTTAAAGTGTTAATTGAAAATGAGACTAGAATTTGCACTGATTGCCTATACCACGGGACTTTTTTTTACAACTACATTGCTTCTTTTTCAAAACTGGGCAGCTTTTTAAGTCATCTTATCTCCTGCCAGCAAGCTGTTCCAATTAAAAAGTACATCATAATTTTAATTCACTAGATACCCATTACTGAATTGGACAGATTATGTAAATATTACCCTTCAAATCCCTGCTGTATCACAAACTTAATTTCTGAAAAAAGTTAAGAATGACATTAAATGAAAACTTACACATTCAACAACCTCTTCCAATTTCTTACAAAATCCAGGAAGGATGAATAATATCAGCAACAGCATAACATTATAATTCTTGGAAGAATTTGCTTATACCTTTAAACTCTGTTGCTTAATAACTATAATTTTAGGCTTCACAATCCATTGTTCTTTCAAAGAAGCTCATTATGAAGTACTGTGCATTCTTGTAATTTTGCTAAACTTGTTTTTGCTATCAGTCATCATTATCCAACTGCATCTTCGTGTACTTTTAATGCTCTTCAGTTGACAATTACAATCCCCCTGAAGAGTTAATGAGCAGCCCCTGTTCACTCCTACCATGCTGAAGATACAAATAAAGCAATACTTTCTTTGCTTACAATACAATTATTGACATCACAAAGTCTAATCTGCCTACAATTGATTCTATGTGGACAGATACTTAATGTTGCCAATTCACATAAAAGCCTCCTGATGTGATGTTACCATTTTTAATTTCCTTTGTATTCTTAGCACTGTTGTGCTTTTGCTTTTGTACGGGACTTGTTTTACATGATATGTTTTCTATGTGAGCTATTGAGAGTCATTTTAGTTATGGTGGAATAAAAATATGGGTAATACATACACTGAACATATTAACGTAATATTAGAACATGGCTACAGTGTTGCTAGAATGCAAGGAAGTGTTGATGTATTCTTTACAAGCCAATTCAAACTATATCTGATTATAGAACAAATGAAGGGCGACAAGTCTATGAAAGATATGAAAGGATTAATGGCATACACCCAGGTCAACAAAACTGTGGCTATGAATACAAGTGAAAATTGTTAATCTAAGACAAATCTAAGATTAGATGTGTTAATAGGATTGTATTAGTAATAAGTATAGCTCAATCATATAAATATTTCCAGTGTGGAGATTATACTACCAGATACCTGTGAAACAGAAAGATAAATGATACATACTGTACATGAAAAATTTCAGAGCTTTTAAGTGAATTTTTAAAAAATATGACAGCACGCTTCAGAATTTGAACAGACAAATAAGTATACTGCAAGTAAGCAGAAATCAAAATGAAGTTTTCAAAATTCAGGGGAAACATTTATAACTCTTAAAATGATAAGATGGCCATAAATTAAATCATCCAATAATTAAAATCTTCTAAAAGTATACATATTAATAAGCTATTGGATATCTCTTCTTGCTTCCCCTAGCCTTTGCATTG